AGTACCTAGTGTGGCATCCAACCTTGAGACCTCCAGCATGCTGGACAGCACAACTCTTTATGATAAAGTGGCAGAACAAGGGGACTTGGTTCGGAAGCTTAAAGCTGAGAAAGCACCAAAAGTAAGCATGCAGAAAACCTAGTTTAGAGAATGCTGTTTCAAGAATGTTTTCAGTCTCTCCTCTGTCAGGATAAAAGCCAGCTTTCTTTCCTGGCTTTTCTTTAAAAATCCTTAAATTTGTTTGATTTGGGGTCTGTCATGTCATCTTTTCTAATGTGTCGCACTTCAAGTAGTGTTCAGATAAATATTATTTGTTGATGATTTTGTGCTAATGTAAATTAGGTACCTTATATGAAAGACATGTCAAGTTTCCCAGCTTCCTCTTCTGAGAAATTTTGACCAACGAAGGGCTCCTACAGATGTGCTGGGAGCCTCCAGCTGGTTGGAGCAGACTCAATTAATTGAGTCTGCTGGAGCACGGAAATGGATGCACTGTGGCAGCCTTCCATTAGTGTTGCCGCTCTGAAAAAATGCTGGGGGGTGGTTTGAACTATAACCTCATTGAATATGTTTGAGCTTTTAGTTCAGAGTACCCCACTGCCATTTCTCAGTGCCAGAACGCTGATACATGTGACACGTGGGTGCTTTTAATTAGCGTGGCTTACTAATTAAAGCATCCGGCACTGTCCCCCAGAGCATGTGTAAAAATGCCCCACGTGATCCAACAAGATGCATTAATACAGTTTCTGAATTAGGTCACTAGTGAAAGTCTTCAACTGTAACCTCTCTTTTTCTCGTGTTACTCCAGATGCTACTAGATTAAGAACTATTGTCACTGTTTGATGCTGAACACCTGAGGAAGAGGCTCTCCTGTTTCATGGAGAGTTTTCTTTATATTTATATGTACATGTGTGTGTACGCACAAAACTATTTTTTGGGAAGAACAGTTTAGAGGCATATCACAAGTGGAAGATTTTAACACTTTGTGCTTAATGACTAAATATTTTAGGGGAATATATAGCTGATGTCATTACAAAACCTGGGCAAAATAATGTTATTAGATGTGTTGCATCTAGTGTTATTGTTTTGTAATGGAATATTAGAGCTGTGAAAAGATTAAGTATTTTCTAATTTATATTTATTTATATCTGAATGCCTCATTTGATAACTATCAAAACTTTGTCCTAGATCAACTTGGTGTAAACTAATGCATGCAAATAGCATTTGAGGCACTTATGACTTGTAAAGTGTCTGTTTTGTTTTATGAAAAGTATCTTTTGTACAATTTGTGTTTTTATATCTTCTGCTTGTTTTCTGTTTCCACCTCCTTTTTCTTTCTGCTTCAGGATCAGATAGATGCTGCAGTGAAAGTGCTTTTAACTCTAAAATCAGAATATAAGCAACAGACAGGCCAGGAATACAAACCTGGAAACCCACCTGCAACAGTGATCCCTAGTAAATCTTCACCTGTTTCTACTTCATCTCCATGCGCAACAGACAGCAAATCTCTATACAGTAAAGTAGCTGAACAAGGTGAAGTGGTCCGCAGACTTAAATCTGAGAAAGCTTCAAAGGTATAGTGGTACTGATTTCTAACATGCCTGTAAGTGGAAAGATTGCTTTCAGCTTAGTTTAGGCCTGAATTCAGGGGCAGACAATTATTTTGGGCGGAGGGCTGCTTACTGAGTTTTGGCAAGCCATCGAGGGCTGCATGACAGGCAGCAAGGGGCAGATGAATATTAATTTTCTAAATTTTTTTAGGGGCCCCGCAGGTTGGATAGAATGGCCTGGTGGACCGCATCCTGGCCACATTTTGCCCACCCCTGCCCTAATTAATAGGTTTTGGGAAACTTACTGGACTAAAAGTAAACGGATATGTTTTAGGGTTTATTTCTTAATTTTAATACAAACATTTCCTAATTCTTTTACAAAAGTCTAGTGCAGAAAACCAAAATGGGGAACTTCTTCATTTTTTGTCACGCAAGCTGAGTCCAGTGCAAAATAAAGACATATTTGAGGAAAGATAAGTTGTAGTTCTAAAACTGGAATGGCATTAGTAATAGAAATGTGCTAGTAATCTGACAGTTCCCATCTAACCTTCCTATCTTGGAATCTTTTCTATTTGGCTCCCAAATAGCAGCATATAAAACTGGCTAAGCTGTTGCATGAGCATGGAAGCCAGTTGTTTTCAGTTGGTAGCTGTGGGCACAAATGTCATTCTACACCTATGCTACTTGATTTAGGTCCCTGGTATATTGCAGTCAATCTGGTAGACCATATAAAAAGGCACATGTATGGGCAAACAAGTTTTGGCCCTTAAGCAGTATATTAGAATGCCTATATTAATGTAATTCTAGGTAGGGTTGAGCTGTTTTTCCTACTGTACATTACTAGCTGTTGCAACTGTATTCTGTCTTTTTACCTTTTTATCTCATTCTCTTGCTTCAGGAGCAGATAGGTGATGCCGTGAAAGTGCTTTTAACTTTAAAGGCAGAATATAAACAAAAGACAGGCCAAGAATACAAGCCAGGAAGTCCACCTGCATCTTCTCTTTGTACGTCATCATCTTCTGCTTCTTTTCTGTCTGCTTCCTGCAATAATTTGACATCTTCTAGCTCAGTAGACAGCAAAATGCTCTATGATAAAGTAGCTGAACAAGGGGAGGTCGTTCGCAGTCTCAAAGCAGAAAAAGCTTCAAAGGTATAATAGTGGTAAATATAGTTTTATCAATCTTAACTCTTGCCACTGGGTGGAAGTCTTGTATAAAATAACCTTCAAATACATTCTCTGGCATTGTATTTCTGCCTCTGGTGGCAGTTTAAACACTTGCCTTCTACCAGTCTTGTACATATCTGTTCCTACCCGACAATGAAGCATTCTAGTATCTCTCGTAGGGACCTCTGACAGATGCACATTCCTACATTCTCCTATTAATATGATGTCCTGCTAGGTGTGAAAAAGTTTAATTGGCTCCTGGCATTTAAAAGGATCGGTGTGACCTGGGTGGAATTCCAGTAGTATAGAAGCATTCTTTTATTTTAGAACAGTGTGGGATGATGTGGGGAATGGAAATTATCTATTACTCCAGGCTATTGGTCTAGTAAGGCTTTTCCAAGCCAGAGAGTGAATTAAAATGAAAATTGGCTTTTTAGTAACAGTGCCTAAAAGGAGCCAGAGAAATGTCTGCTTTCAGAATCACTGGTATCCTAATGCTGCTCTTTCCTCTTGAAAGTCTTCAAAGTCCATATTCTTCAGTGCAGATTCTCCTGTATCCTTTTTAATAGATTACAAGTGGCAGGATGATTTGGGGTTCCATTCTGTTGGTAACCCTGCAGCATGTTCTCATTGTTGGTATCTAGATTTTTAGATAATCTGATATATATTCGTTCTCTTTTCCTAGCGCCACATACATTTTGCTGGTGGTCAGATTGAAACTCAGAAGTTTCTTTTAGCCTCAGAATTACTTGCATCTTAAATTGTTCTTAATCCATCTGAACTCTGTTTGCTTTCCACATAGGATAAAGTGGACGAAGCTGTCAGAGTCCTCCTGTCTCTAAAAGCAGAATATAAAGAAAAGACTGGACAAGATTACAAGCCAGGCCATCCACCAGCAGCTCAGACATCTGCTTCACCCCAGGCAACAAGCACAGAAACCAGTGGTTCAGACACACCAGAAGCCAAAGCCCTGTATGACAAGGTAGCTCTTCAAGGAGAAGTCATTCAAAAACTAAAAGCAGAGAAAGCAGAAAAGGTAAACCATTTTAAATACAGCTTAATTATAAACCACGTGAGGCATCTCCGTTTATGCTGGACAGCAGGATGAGGTTCTGAGATGTGACATTTTAAAAATTTTATTTAAGTTCCTCAAGTGCCATTGCATTTCAGCAGGAAGTATCTGATGTAAAGCTTTATGTGCTCTTTTCCTCGTAAGTTTTTCATTTTAATCAGAGGACCTATCTCTGCTGTTTAAAAGCTGAGGTTTTGTAGTTTTCCTTCCATCCTCCCTCCCTCTGTCTCTTAACCTCCCCTTCCTTGTGGTGGCAAATTTTAATATTTAGGTATGTGTTGAACGTGTAGGATACATTTTTAGGTTAATTTTCTGCTGTGATTCATCTGGATTTCTCTTAATTTGCTTGTTCTGTGGCTTCTAAACAAAGGACAAAATAGATGCAGCAGTGCAGGAACTCCTTCAGCTGAAGGCCCAGTACAAGTCTTTTGCTGGAGTAGACTATAAACCTGCCTCAACAACTGGCATTGAAGATAAAGATAAGAAAAAGAAAGAGAAGGAAAATAAGTCTGAAAAGCAGAATAAACAACAAAAACAAAATGAAACCCCGAAGAAAGAATCTCCAAAAGAACAGAGTGCCAATGACCTCTCTTCAAATGGAGCAGGAGAAGGTCAAGGCCCTAAGAAACAGACGAGGTAAAGAGAGATTTGTAATCTCTCTCTGTGTGGAATCTAAATAGCGAGAAACCCAGAGCAGTATTTTGGTTTTTGTCTTGTTTGATTCTGTGGGAATATAGGAATATTGCACATTCTCATTTACATTATACATAATTGGTATCCTTATGCTTATTTTATCCACCTGAAAATACAGGTCGTTTCCTGTTTTAAGTTTATAAATGTTGCATGTTATAGGTGGAGTTCCTGGAAAAGCAGGGAAACTATGCAGTAAAAAAAATATGGATTCTTCCATTTTTAAAGCCTGATGTTATGAAGAACTGAGTACATCTTACATGATCTACTCTCCTTGGCTAGGAAATGACGACTCGGCCATCTCCCAGATTCTATCGTTATTGCTAGTCAGTCTTCCATCTTAAAGAGAACTTCTGATATGTTTGAAGCAAAAAGTAATCCAGTGCACTGTTGTCTTAATGGTCTCACAAATGCTAGTCCAGAGATAAGTTAGGCCAGGTATAAAACCAAAATTTAAATGTCCTTTTGAGCAGATCTGGGTCAGCCTCGTGCTTGTCATTTTTTTTTTTTTTTTTTTTTT